GGCACACCCACATACTTTAAATTGTCTCTAGATTACTTATAATACCTAGTATGTTATAAATTCTGGGTAAACACAATAGTTGTAAGGCTTAGGAAATGATAAGGGAAAAAGTCTGACTTGTCAAATACAGATACAATTTTTCCAAAACTGATCCTCAGTTGTTTAAAGGCACAGTTGAACCCTTGATTCAATGGGCCAACTGTACCTACTGAAGCAATGTGCCTTCAGGAACAAGTGGTGCTACATAACCACTCTCCCTGGAAGAACTGTGGGATGCGATGATATTTATGAGTAAACGGAAGTGCTCACAGGACAAAAATGGCCAGCTCAGAACATGGTGTGCTTTGCTTTGGATATGGTTTGTCCACAAAAGTTTTATGTGCTGCAAATTTGGTCCCCAGACTGGGGATGTTGAAAAGTGGAGCCTAGTGAAAGGTAATTAGGTCACTGGGGATTAATGCCCATCTCATCAAGTGGGAGAGTTAGATCTCACAGAACAGGATCATTATCACAAGAGTGGGTTATTAGTTCAGCTTTCTTGATTCATTCTCTTTTTCCTTCCTTCTTTGTTTCTCTCTCCTCCCCCGACATCATATCACCTGTAATCTACCTTTGTGTGTGTGTGTGTGTGTGTATGAGGTGCTGGGGATTGAACCCAGGGCCTTGTGCATGAGAGGCAAGCACTCTACTGACTGAGCTATATCCCCAGCCCTGTAATCTACCACGTTTTGAGATAGTCAAAGGCACACATCAGAGGCTGATGGTTGGGGTCCCTAATCTTGGACTCTGTACCTCTAAAACTGTAAGCTAAATAAACCTCTTTTCTTTAAAAGAATACCCAATCTCAGACATATGTTATAGCAACACAAAATGACCTAAGACTTGATTAGAGAACGAGAGGACTTCTAAGACAATAAATTAGTCTAAAAGAATCCCTACGTTCTTGTAGCTGCTCTTCAGGAAGTATCATTACAATGCATGATGAATTCACAGCTTTGCCAAATTCCTAATGTGAGAACTGGGGCATTGGTTGGGAGGGAGAGATGTTTGGAATAAAGATATCTGGGTAAAATCAAACAAATGAGAAAATCTTCTACTCCCTTACACAAATGTCCATATTCTAATTACTCTAGTCATTGCCCATTATTCTCCAGTCATACGGGTGAAAACTACTTTCTGAACTATAATTTAGGATTCTTCTTTTGCTTTTTCACTTCCTTGCTTAACAGATCCCTAACATTAAAATCTCTTTGTTAAAATAAATAAACAAGAACAACAATAAAACTAACCTGGTTTGTTTTCCCGACTGACCCTAATGGACACCTCACCTGATGGGACTTTCTGAAACTGAGGCAAAGTGGACATGGCCCACAGCCCAGGATGTCCCACAGGGGCTCACACAGGGAGTGCCTCTCCTACTGAACACTTCTCTACGGAATTACCCTTCTTCTAATTGGGTAGGTCATGGCTTCTCTCTGAATTTCTTTATAAGATGATATCTTCTCTAAAATTGGGGTATGTATTAGGGGGGAGTGATGAAGAAGAACACTAACCTGATGAAATATTTAATTCTTGGGCTAGTATCCTCACCTGTCTGCCATTCACAGGCGTTCAAACATCCTGACACCACCATTAAGAATGTCTCCTGCTCACTATTGATAAGTCAAAGAAACAGTTGCGGGAAGGCATGATGTTTACATTTCATTGTGGGGCACTCTTAGGACACTGTCCTAAATGAGGCCTGAGATGCCTGGCATCATCCAGTACGGCTCCTGCTGTGGGAACTGATGGGATGGACCACCTGTTCTGATCTCTCATAAGATATGGTAAAATTGGTGGCCATTTCTAAGTGATAGGGTGATCACTGCACCGGGGTAGAAAACCCAGAAGTCCTTCAGACCCCATGCTTAGAGCCCCTTTTTATGTATTTATGAGCTTCCAGGGTCCAGGACTTGTAAGTTATCTAAATAGGACACTTTCAGCAGGCTGGAGGCAGATATGGTGACATTCTCATTCTGCTTGGCATTGTATGTTACAGAAAGTAAAGAACAAGCTTTGTAAGTTCAACCCAGGACAGGAAGGTGTTCACACACATATTTGTACACACATATGTCCTCTATTATGTACACATGCGAAGTACCTTTTTCACAAAATAAAATTTTGGGGGGGTGGGGGCAATACTGAAGATGGAATTCATGGACACTTTGTCTCTGAGCTATATTACCAGTTATTTTTTATTTTCGAATAAGGTCTGGCTAAGTTGCTGAAGCTGGCCTCAAACTTGAAAGCCTCCTGCCTCAGCCTTTGAAGTTGCTAGATTACAAACATGCAGTACCATGCCCATGCCCAGTTTCACAAAGTAAAATTTTTCACAAAATAAAAGAAAAAAAAAAAGAAAAGAAAAATTTATACTATAAGTACATAGCATATGTAAGAAAGTCTATTAAAAAGCTTTCAATTTATTATCTTGAAAATCCTAACCTAAGGACATCAATTTTCTAATAAAGTATAAGAGAAATTTCTGTATGTTTAATTCTGTGTCTCTAAATTTGATTTAGAATTTTGAAGTCATGTCATAGCAATCAAGACAAAGACATTTACTCATCTAGTCAGATTTTCTCCAAAGAAGAAAGTAGTTTAAAGAGCTGTTAGTCTATTTTTAGAAGAAAATTTTTATGTTTGCATCCATTAAGTCAAAATGGAAACACTTAAAATATATAGATATATATCTGATATGAATAATATATGAATTTATCACTAGTTAGTGTGATGTTATTATTATCACTAGTTATGTGATATATTATTTAGTCACTCCTGTAACATGGAAAAAGTCAATCTTTTGTCATAGCAACTTCAAGGTTACATTCATCCAGGTACATTTAAAGCTTTCCCCCAAATATCTCAGTGACATTTCAAATTTTAGTAATGTTGGAGTTTAAATACTTTAAACTTAAATAAAATTTTCGAAAACCTTTAAGTAAAAATGTACTAATTGAGAGACAGAAGATGGCAGAGTAGAGGAAAGCTGCATTCCAAGATATACTGTGGCCTGGGACCAAAAGTATTGGGTGTACAGCTTCTCAGCAAGGTGGATATAAAAGTAGGATTTCACTAAAATTTAATATTGGACATTTAAAGTGCCTTAGGGACTTAGAAATTTGGATACAATAAACAAAGAAGAAATAATACATTGGAGTTAACCCAGAGGCCCACAGGCACCAACAGTGCAGATTCAGCACAGACAGGGGGAGGTAGAATAGTTTTGGTACAGAAAAACCCGAGATAAAAAGTGCTGCCCAATGTAGAGATATAAAATAAAGGAACACACTATTTTTTCAATGAAATAATATCAGAAAAAATTTCCAAACCTAAAGAATGAAATGGAAAATCAAATACAAGAGGCTTACAGAACCGCAAATATACAAAAATCACAACAGACCCACACCAAGTCACATTATTATAAAAATGTCCAACATTCAGAATAAGGATAGAATTTTAAAGGCTGCCAGTGGAAAATGTCAGATTACATTTAGAGGGAAATCAATTTGGATCTCAGCTGATTTCTCAATCTAGACTCTCAAAGCTAGAATCTGTGGAATAATACACACTGAGCTCCAAAAGAAAATGGATACCAACCAGAAATACTATACCTAGCCAAATTAAGCTTTATATTTGAAGATAAAATAAAACCTTCCATGATAAACAAAAGTTAAAAGAATTCACAGCTAGAAAGCCAACAGTGTGGGAGACCAACCTTGAATGTGACTGAGTCACTCCCCAATGGGTGATGAAGTGTCAAGCAGCAGCCATGCCGCTAGACTGCCACGCCCTTCTTGGGTTGGAGGGACAGTATTTTCGATTAGAGACATATCTCTCCACAACCCCAGGGACCCAATCACCTCACCTGTCCTTGTAACCCTGCTCCCCTTGACCTTCATTGGACAGGATTTTCCCCAGAATTTAGAGTTCCCCAATAAAAGCCCACTCCTAAGCATGCTGGCTCACTCTCGCTAGCCTCTCCGGTAGATCCTCGCTTCCCCCCTGGGGAGCTTGAGACAGAGAGCAAGAGGAGCCATCCCGGAGTTGGTTTAAAGGTAAATTGTGTATCTGTGTTTTATTTCTAACTCCCTGAGAATTTCCCTGAGTGACGGAACAGTTAATCTTCTGCATGGCCGATACAACAGTACCAAACATTCTCAGCAAAATATTCCATGAAGATGAAACAAACAAACAAAAAGTGAAAACTAGCAAAGAGAAGAACTATGCTAAATAAATAGTCAAAGGAGAAACTTATTCAAATTAAAACCATATATAAACCAAAATGACTGGTAATACAAATCATATCTCAATAATAACCTTGAATATAAACAGCTTAACCTCATCAATCAAAAGACATAGACTGACAGATAGGATTAAAACAACAACAACAATATGCTTTCTCCAGGAGACAAACATCATTGAAAAAGACATCTGCAGAGTGAAGGTGAAAGGATTGGAAAAAACATATCACTCTCTCAGATCATGTAAACAAGCAAGAATTGCTATCCTCATATCAGATAAAGTGGACATGAAGCCAAAGTTAATTAGAATAGACAAAGAAGGACATTTCATACTGCTTAAGGGAATTATATATCAACAAGACATAACAATCATAAATACATATGCTCCAAACAATGGAGCATCTACATGCATCAAACAAACCCTTCTCAATTTCAAGAATAAATAGACCAATAAATACAATAATGCTGGATGACTTTAACATACCTCTCTCACAACTGGATAGATCCTTCAAACAAAAACTAAGAAAAAAACCCCCAAAAAACTATAGAACTCAATAATACAATCAATATTTTAGAATATATATATATATATATATATATATATATATATATATATATATTTCATATATCAATGATTGTATTCTTTCTTCTCAGCAGCACATAAATCCTTCTATAAAATAGACCATATCTTATTCCCAGAATAGCCAAAGCAATCCTTACCATGAAAAGTGGAGCAGGAGGTGCCGCAGTCTGGCTGGGCACAAATCAGGAGCCACTGGAGCAGGAACAAACTTTATTTTCTGAACTCCCCAGAATGCCAAGCACGTGGCCCTCCTAGGCACACCACATACCCACTGGAACTCTCCCAGCTCTCCACCGGGCTCCGCCCCAACTCTTGGAACCCTGGGAGAACTCAACAGGAACTCCAAAGTAGCAGGCGGTGCCCCAGGCAACAAGAGCCGCCCTATTTCCTGACAGCAAAGGTCTAATATACAACTGAATACACAGCTTAACTAACCATCATCATCTCAATGGCTCGCTGGTGTCACCTTTCAACCACTCCCTTCTGGCAATATGCTATGTCATCCTGACTCAGCTGTGGCCCTCAACAAGGAGGCATCACAATACCAAACCTAGACTATGCTATAGAGATATGGTAATGAAAATGGCATGGTATTGGCACCGAAACAGACTTGTAGACCAATGATACAGAACAAAAGACACAAAGACAAACCCACATAAATACAGAAATCTCATACTAGACAAAAGTGCCGAAAACATACATTGGAGAAAAGATAGCCTCTTCAACAAATGGTGCTGGGAAAACTGCAAATCCATATGTAATAAAATGAAATTAAACTCCTATCTCTCACCCCGCACAAAATTCAACTTGAAGTGCATCAAAGACTTAGGCATTAGAACAGAGGCTTTGCACCTACTAGTAGAAAAGATGGGCCCAAATGTCCACTATGTTGGCTTAGGAACTGACTTCCTTAACAAGACCCCTAAAGTACAAGAAGCAAAATAAAAAATCAATAAATGGAATTGAATCAAACTAAAAAGCTTTTTCACAGCAAAGGAAACAATCAAGAACATTAATAGAAAGCCTATAGAATGGGAGAAAATTTTTGCCATCTGCACCGAAGATAGAGCATTAATCTCCAGGATATATAAAGAACTCAAAAAACTTAACACTCAAAAAACAAATTATCTAATCAGTGCATTGGTTAAGGGACTAAACAGACACTTCACAGAAGAAGAAATATGATCGGTCAACAAATATATGAAAAAATGTTCAACATCTCTAGCAATTAGAGAAATGCAAATCAAAAATACTCATCTCACTCCAGTCAGAATGGCAATTATCAACAATAAAAACAACAATAAATGTCGATGAGGACATGGGGGAAAAGGTACACTCACACATTTCTGGTGAGACTGCAAATTGGTGCAACCACTGTGGAAAGAAGTATGAAGATTCCTCAGAAAAAGTAAAATGGAATCACCATTTGATATAACTTTCCCACTCCTTGGTTTATATCCAAAGGACTTAAAATCAGCATACTATAGTGACATACCCACATCAATGTTCATAGAAGCTCAATTCACAATAGTTAAACTATGGAACCAACCTAGATGCCCCTCAACAGATGAATGGATAAAGAAACTGTGGTATACATACACAATGGAATATTACTCAGCCATAAACAAAAATGAAATTAAGTCATTTGTTGGTAAATGGAAGGAACTGCAGACTATCGTGCTAAGTGAAATAAGCCAATCCCCCAAAACCTAAGGCTGACTATTGTCTCTAATATGAGGATGTTAATTCATAATGGGGGGTGGATAGAGAAGAATACAAGCTCTTTGGATTAGACAAAAAGAAAGGAAGGGAACAGAGGGGGAATGAAAATAGGAAAGATAGTAGAATTAACCCAATATTATTACCTATGTGCATATATGATTATATGACCAATGTAATTCTACATCATGTACAACCAGAAGAATAAGAAATTATACCCAATATATGTATACTGTGTCAAAATTCATTCTAGTATAATGTATAACTAATAAGAACAAATAAGTAAATCAATCAATCAATAAATAAATAAGATTTCAACTCCCAAATAGCAAAAAAAATGAAAAATAAAAAATAAATTGCTGAAGCCTAGCTGACCCAGAGGCTGCACAAGGCACTGTTGCTTGAAAAGTTCACTTTGTATCTCAATTGGCTGCAGAGAGCTGAGACAGGAGCTATCCTGTGGCAAAGCAGATTTCAAGCAAAAATTTATCAGAAGAGACAAAGAAGGACATGATTTCCTACTAAAGGGGACAATCTAATTAAAAGATATAACAGCAGTAAACATTTGTGACCCAAATGTCAATGCACCAAATTACATGGAAAAAATACCCTCTATGACACTAAATTTCACATAGACCCCAACATAATAATACTGGGTGATTGCAATACACCCTTATCACTAATATACATGTCATCAAAACACAAAATCAATAAAGATATCTCCAATCTAATCACAAGAGACAACACTAAAAAGGAAATGGACCTAATAGACATCTATAGAACATTCCATCCCAGAATAGCTGTATTTACCTTCTTCTCAGCTGTACATGGAAGTTTTTCCAAAATAGATCATACTGTAGGTCACAAAGCAAATCATCACAAACACACAAAAAAAATCGATATAATCCCATGTATCCTATCAGATCATAATGGAATAAAGCTTAGAAATCAATGGCAAGAAAAATAATAGAAGCCACATAAACACATAAAGAATGAATAATATGCTCTTAAATAAATAATGAATCAAAGGACAAATGAAAATAGAAATCAATAAATTCTTATAAATGAACAAGAACAGAGATACAACATATCAAAATTTCTGCAACCATTTGAGAGCCCATCTAAGAGGAAAATGTATAGCACCTAGAGCCTACATTAAATAATTAGAGAGATCCCAAATAAGTTAAGCTTGTGCTCCACCTCAAGGCCTTAGAAAAAGAACAAACTAACCGCCAAGCCAGGAGAAGACAGGAAACAATGAAGACCAGAGCTGAAACAATGAAATTTAGAAAAAGAAAACAATACTTAGAATCAATGCAATGGTTCTTTGAAAAGATAAATACTATCAAAAACCCTTATGCAAACCAATCAAAACAAAGTGTAAGAAGACCCAAATCAACAAGATCAAAGATGAAAAAAAGGAGATATCACCACAGATCCTCTGAAATCCAGAGGATTTTGAGAACCTATTTTGAATATTCATATTCCAATAAACTGGAATATCTGGAAGACATTTACAAATTTCTAGATACATATGATCTGCCAAAATTGAACCAGGAAGATATAGAAAACCTAACCAGACTGATATTAAGTAATGAAATTGAAACAGCAATTAAAAGACTTCCAAAAAAGAAAAGCCCAGGACCTGATGGATTCTCAGCTGAGTTCTATCAGATTTTTATAGAAGAATTAACACCAGTCTTTCTCAAATGATGTCATGAAATTGAAAGAGTGAAAACACTCCCAAATACATTTTATGAAGCCAGTATAACCCGGATACCAAAACTAAACAAAGATACATCAAGGAAAGAAAACTATAGACCAATATCTCTGATGAACATAGACGCAAAAATCTTTAATAAAATATCAGCAAACTACGTTCAAAAACACACCAAAAGATAATACACCATGATCAAGGGTGTTTCATTCCAGGGATGCAAGATTGGTTCAAACTACACAAATCAATAAATTTATTCACCACTTCAACCGAATTAAGGGCAAAAATCACTCATTACCTCAATAGATGCAGAAAATGTCTCTGATCAAATTCAACACCCATTCATGTTAAAAATGCGGAGAAACTGGAGATCGAAACTAGATACCTCAATATTATTACAGGATGTTTATGAAAACCCAAAGCCAATATCATATTAAATGGAGAAAAACTAAGAGCATTTTTTAAAAATCAGGAACAAGACAAGGCTGTCCACTCTCACCACTTCCATTCAGTATAGACTGCAAAATATTAGCCAGAGGAATCTGTCAAGAAAAAGAAATCAAAAGGATACAAACGGGAAAAGAAAAAGTCAAACAATCTCTGTTTGCCAATGATATGATCCTATATCTAGAAGACCCAAAAAACTGTACCAGACTTCTTGAGCTTATAAGTGAGTTTAAAGTAGCAGGATGCAAGAGCAACACCCTTAAATTAATAGCTTTCTTAACTTTGACAGTAAGAAATCAGGAAAACTATCCTATTCACAATAACCTTTAAAAAAAAAAGCTTGGGAATTAATATAACCAAGGAGGTAAGAGAACTTTATAATGAAAGTTATAGAACACTGAAGAAAAAAATTGAAGAAGACCTTAGAAGATGGAAAGACATCCCATGTTGTTGGATAAGCAGATTTAATATTGTCAAATGGACATACTACCAAAAACAATACGCAGATTCAATGCAATCCTCATCAAAATTCCAAAGACATTCTTCACAGAATTAGAAAAAAAAACAATTCTTAAATTCATTTGGAAGAATAAGAGACCCAGAATTGCCAAAGCAATATTAAGCAAGAAAAATGAAGAAGGAGGTATCACAATACTTGATCTGAAATTATATGACAGAACTGTAGTAACAAAAACAATATAGTATTGGCATCAAAATAGACATGAAGACCAGTGGAGCAGAATAGATGACAGAGACAAATCCACATATGTATTTTTGACAAGGGTGCCAAAAATATATATTGGACAAAAGACAGCTCTTTTTACAAATGGTGTTGAAAAAACTGGATACCTATATGTAGAAAAATGAATTTAAACCCCTCTCTCTCAGCGTGAACAAAACTCAAATCAAAATGGATTAATATTTTGGCATTAGAACAGAAAATTACAACTGCTAGAAGAAAACATAGGGATCATCACTCCATCATAAGGTTGGTGGCACTGACTTCCTTAACAAGACCCTCAAAGTGCAAGAAATAAGACCAAGAACCAATAAGTGGGATGCCACCAACTAAAAAACTTCTGTACAGCAAAGGAAATGATTAAGAGCATGAAGAGAGAGCCTACAGCATGGGAGAAAATCTACTCATTTGATAGGGAATTAATATTCAGAATATACAGAGAACTCAAAAAATTCAACACCAAAAAAAAAAAAAATGAAAAGAAAAGAAAACCCAACCCATAAATGGGTAAAAGAACTAAACAGAAACTTCTCAGAAGAAGAAACACAAATGGCCAACAAATACATGAAAAAAAAAACAATTTAAAAACTCTAGCAATCATGGAAATGCAAATCAAAATGACACTAAGAAG